TCTAAGTATCGGTTTAACCAAATCTAAGTATCGGTTTAACCAACTCTAACTGTCAGTTTGACCAACTCTAACTGTCGGTTTGACCAACTCTAACTGTCGGTTTAACCGACTCTGTCGGTTTGACCAACTCTGTTTGTTTGACCAACTCTAAATGTCTGTTTGACCAACTCTAACTGTCGGATTGATCAACTCTAACTGTCGGTTTAACCAACTCTAACTGTCGGGTTTGACCGTCTCTAACTGTCGGTTTGACCAACTCTAGCTGTTGGTTTGACCGACTCTTAACTGTCTGTTTGACCAACTCTTAACTGTCAGTTTGACCAACTCTAACTGTCGGTTTAACCAACTCTAACTGTCGGTTTGACCAACTCTGTCGGTTTGACCAACACTGTCGGTTTGACCAACATTGTCGGTTTGACCAACTCTAACTGTCAGTTTGACCAACTCTAACTGTCGGTTTGACCAACTCTAACTGTCGGTTTGACCAACTCTAAATGTCGGTTTGACCAACTCTAACTGTCGGGTTTGACCGTCTCTAGCTGTCGGTTTGACCAACTCTAGCTGTTGGTTTGACTGACTCTTAACTGTCTGTTAGACCAACTCTAACTGTCTGTTTAACCAACTCTAACTGTCGGTTTGACCAACTCTGTCGATTTGACCAACACTGTCGGTTTGAACAACTCTAACTGTCAGCTTGACCAACTCTAACTATCGGTTTAACCAACTCTGTCGGTTTAAATGAATCTGTCGGTTTAACCGACTGTCGGTTTGACCAACTCTGTTTGTTTGACCAACTCTAACTGTCTGCTTGACCAACTCTAACTGTCGGTTTGATCAACTCTAACTGTCGGTTTGACCAACTCTAACTGTCGGTTTGACCAACTCTAACTGTCGGTTTAACCGACTCTGTCGGTTTGACCAACTCTGTTTGTTTGACCAACTCTAAATGTCTGTTTGACCAACTCTAACTGTCGGTTTGACCAACTCTAACTGTCGGTTTGACCAACTCTAAATGTCGGTTTAACCAACTCTAACTGTCAGTTTGACCAACTATGTCGGTTTGACCAACTCCAACTGTCGGTTTGACGAACTCTAACTATCGGTTTATCAAACTCTAACTATCGGTTTGACCAACTCTGTCGGTTTAACCGACTCTAACTGTTAGTTTGACCGACTCTGTCGGTTTGACCAACTCTGTTTGTTTGACCAACTCTGTTTGTTTGACCAACTCTGTTTGTTTGACCAACTCTAACTGTCAGTTTGACCAATTCTAACTGTCCGTTTGACCAGCTCTAACTGTCTGTTTGACCAACTCTAACTGTCTGTTTGACCAACTCTAACTGTCGGTTTGACCGACTTTTAGCTGTCTGTTTGATCAACTCTAACTGTCTGTTTGATCAACTCTAACTGTCTGTTTGACCAATTCTAACTGTCTGTTTGAGCAACTCTAACTGTCTGTTTGACCAACTCTAACTGTCTGTTTGACCGACTCTAACTGTCTGTTTGACCAACTCCAACTGTCGGTTTGACCAACTCTAACTGTTTGTTTGACCAACTCTGTCTGTTTGACCAACTCTAACTGTCTGTTTGACCAACTCTAACTGTCTGTTTGACCAACTCTAACTGTCTGTTTGACCAACTCTAACTGTCTGTTTGACCAACTCTAACTGTCTGTTTGACCGACTCTAAATGTCTGTTTGACCAACTCTAACTGTCGGTTTGACCGACTTTTAGCTGTCTGTTTGATCAACTCTAACTGTCTGTTTGACCAAATCTAACTGTCTGTTTGACCGACTCTAACTGTCTGTTTGACCAAATCTAACTGTCTGTTTGACCAAATCTAACTGTCTGTTTGACCAACTCTAACTGTCTGTTTGACCAAATCTAACTGTCGGTTTGACCGACTCTGTCTGTTTGACCAACTCTAACTGTCTGTTTGACCAAATCTAACTGTCTGTTTGACCAACTCCAACTGTCTGTTTGACCATCTCTAACTGTCGGTTTGACCAACTCTAACTGTCGGTTTGACCATCTCTAACTGTCGGTTTGACCAACTCTAACTGTCGGTTTGACCAACTCTAACTGTCTGTTTGACCAAATCTAACTGTCTGTTTGACCAAATCTAACTGTCTGTTTGACCAAATCTAACTGTCTGTTTGACCAAATCTAACTGTCTGTTTGACCGACTCTAACTGTCTGTTTGACCGACTCTAACTGTCTGTTTGACCAAATCTAACTGTCTGTTTGACCAACTCTAACTGTCTGTTTGACCAAATCTAACTGTCTGTTTGACCGACTCTAACTGTCTGTTTGACCAAATCTAACTGTCTGTTTGACCAAATCTAACTGTCTGTTTGACCAAATCTAACTGTCTGTTTGACCAAATCTAACTGTCTGTTTGACCGACTCTAACTGTCTGTTTGACCGACTCTAACTGTCTGTTTGACCAAATCTAACTGTCTGTTTGACCAACTCTAACTGTCTGTTTGACCAAATCTAACTGTCTGTTTGACCGACTCTAACTGTCTGTTTGACCAACTCCAACTGTCGGTTTGACCAACTCTAACTGTCTGTTTGACCAACTCTAACTGTCTGTTTGACCAACTCTAACTGTCTGTTTGACCGACTCTAAATGTCTGTTTGACCAACTCTAACTGTCGGTTTGACCGACTTTTAGCTGTCTGTTTGATCAACTCTAACTGTCTGTTTGACCAAATCTAACTGTCTGTTTGACCGACTCTAACTGTCTGTTTGACCGACTCTAACTGTCTGTTTGACCAAATCTAACTGTCTGTTTGACCAAATCTAACTGTCTGTTTGACCAACTCTAACTGTCTGTTTGACCAACTCTAACTGTCTGTTTGACCAAATCTAACTGTCTGTTTGACCAACTCCAACTGTCTGTTTGACCATCTCTAACTGTCGGTTTGACCAACTCTAACTGTCGGTTTGACCAACTCTAACTGTCGGTTTGACCAACTCTAACTGTCGGTTTGACCAACTCTAATTGTCTGTTTGACCAAATCTAACTGTCTGCTTGACCAACTCTGTCTGTTTGACCAAATCTAACTGTCTGTTTGATCGATTCTAACTGTCTGTTTGACCGACACTTAACTGTCTGTTTGACCAACCACTAACTGTCGGTTTGATCAACTCTAACTATCGGTTTCAACAACTCTAACTGTCGGTTTGAACAACTCTGTCTGTTTGACCAACTCTAACTGTCGGTTTGACCAACTATGTCTGTTTGACCAACTCTAACTGTCGGTTTAACCAACTCTAACTGTCTGTTTGACCAACTCTAACTGTCGGTTTGACCATCTCTAACTGTCGGTTTGACCAACTCTAACTGTCGGTTTGACCAACTCTAACTGTCTGTTTGACCGACTCTAACTGTCTGTTTGACCAACTCTAACTGTCTGTTTGACAGACTCTAACTGTCTGTTTGACCAACTCTAACTGTCTGTTTGACCAAATCTAACTGTCTGTTTGACCAACTCTAACTGTCTGTTTGACCATCTCTAACTGTCGGTTTGACCAACTCTAACTGTCGGTTTGACCATCTCTAACTATCGGTTTGACCAACTCTAACTGTCTGTTTGACCAAATCTAACTGTCTGTTTGACCAACTCCAACTGTCTGTTTGACCATCTCTAACTGTCGGTTTGACCAACTCTAACTGTCTGTTTGATCAACTCTAACTGTCTGTTTGACCGACTCTAACTGTCTATTTGACCGACTCTAACTGTCTGTTTGACCAAATCTAACTGTCTGTTTGACCAAATCTAACTGTCTGTTTGACCGACTAACTGTCTGTTTGACCAAATCTAACTGTCTGTTTGACCAAATCTAACTGTCTGTTTGACCGACTCTAACTGTCTGTTTGACCAACTCTAACTGTCTGTTTGACCAACTCTAACTGTCTGTTTGACCAAATCTAACTGTCTGTTTGACCAACTCCAACTGTCTGTTTGACCATCTCTAACTGTCGGTTTGACCAACTCTAACTGTCGGTTTGACCATCTCTAACTGTCGGTTTGACCAACTCTAACTGTCTGTTTGACCAACTCTAACTGTCTGTTTGACCAAATCTAACTGTCTGTTTGACCAAATCTAACTGTCTGTTTGACCGACTAACTGTCTGTTTGACCAACTCTAACTGTCTGTTTGACCATCTCTAACTGTCGGTTTGACCAACTCTAACTGTCGGTTTGACCATCTCTAACTATCGGTTTGACCAACTCTAACTGTCTGTTTGACCAAATCTAACTGTCTGTTTGACCAACTCCAACTGTCTGTTTGACCATCTCTAACTGTCGGTTTGACCATCTCTAACTGTCGGTTTGACCAACTCTAACTGTCGGTTTGACCGACTCTAAATGTCTGTTTGACCAACTCTAACTGTCTGTTTGACCAAATCTAACTGTCTGTTTGACCAACTCTAACTGTCTGTTTGACCATCTCTAACTGTCGGTTTGACCAACTCTAACTGTCGGTTTGACCATCTCTAACTATCGGTTTGACCAACTCTAACTGTCTGTTTGACCAAATCTAACTGTCTGTTTGACCAACTCCAACTGTCTGTTTGACCATCTCTAACTGTCGGTTTGACCATCTCTAACTGTCGGTTTGACCAACTCTAACTGTCGGTTTGACCGACTCTAAATGTCTGTTTGACCAACTCTAACTGTCTGTTTGACCAAATCTAACTGTCTGTTTGACCAACTCTAACTGTCTGTTTGACCGACTCTAAATGTCTGTTTGACCGACTCTAAATGTCTGTTTGACCAACTCTAACTATCTGTTTGACCGACTCTAAATGTCTGTTTGACCAACTCTAACTGTCTGTTTGACCAAATCTAACTGTCTGTTTGACCAACTCTAACTGTCTGTTTGACCGACTCTAAATGTCTGTTTGACCAACTCTAACTATCGGTTTGACCAACACTTTACAGGCTATGCTGTGACTGCTGGACACTTCTCCTCTCCTAATGTCATAGATGTGGCTGCAGGAGCTCCACAACACGGTGGAGAGGGGAAAGTATGTACTGGAATGTTATAACTTTGTTTTGTTATTGCATTGGTACGGTACATACCTGTACTAAGTACCTGTAACATACATACCTGTACTGAGTACCTGTGACGTACATACCTGTACTGAGTACCTGTAACGTGCATACCTGTACTGAGTACCTGTAACGTGCATACCTGTTATGAGTACCTGTAACGTACATACCTGTACTGAGTACCTGTAACGTACATACCTGTGCTGAGTACCTGTAACGCACACCTGTAACATGTAACATACCAGTATTTTAACATTGCTTACTCATCTCCCTCCAGGTTTACATTTTTAGAATCGATGGTGTGTCTTTGGTGAAGATCTTTCAGGCCTCAGGGAAAATGGTATGTGTTTGAAGGTCCACAGTTAGCTACTATGTTGTTTAACCATTACATTTACGTCATTTAGCAGACGCTCTTATCCAGAGCGACTTACAAATTGGTGCATTCAACTTATGATAGCCAGTGGGACAACCATTTTTTTTTTATTTTTATGGAGGGGGGGGGGGGGGGGGGGGGGGGGGGTAGAAGGATTACTTTTATACTATTCCAGGTATTCCTTAAAGAGGTAGGGTTTCAAGTGTCTCCGGAAGGTGGTCAGTGACTCCGCTGTCCTGGCATCGTGGGGGAGCTTGTTCCACCATTGGGGTGCCAGAGCAGCGAATAGCTTTGACTGGGCTGAGCGGGAACTGTGCTTCCGTAGAGGTAGGGGGGCTAGCAGGCCAGAGGTGGATGAACGTAGTGCCCTCGTTTGGGTGTAGGGTCTGATCAGAGCCTGAAGGTAAGGAGGTGCCGTTCCCCTCACAGCTCCGTAGGCAAGCACCATGGTCTTGTAGTAGATGCGAGCCTTAACTGGAAGGTAGGGTCGTACTCTGCGAATGTTGTAGAGCATGAACCTGCAGGATCGGGTCACCGATTGATGTTAGCGGAGAACGACAGGGTGTTGTCCAGGGTCATTCTAAGGTTCTTTGCACTCTGGAAGGAGGACACAATGGAGTTGTCAACCGTGATGGTGAGATCATGGTGCGGGCAGTCCTTCCCCGGGAGGAAGAGCAGCTCCGTCTTGCCGAGGTTCTTCTTGAGGTGGTGATCCGACATCCACACTGATATGTCTGCCAGACATGCAGAGATGCGATTCGCCACATGGTTATCAGAAGGGGAAATATTGTTGTTTATTTACCAGTGTGTCGGTAGTAATCACTCTTAATATATGCCATTTAGCAGACGCTTTTATCCAAAGTGACTTAGTCATGAGTGCATAAATTTTACGTATGGGTTGTCCCGGGAATCTATGCTCTGCGAACTGAGCTACAAAGAACCACCATTCACTTCTAGAATCTGTTGTCATTCTTTGTTATCAGAAATAACATAGGCCTTCACTAGAGTGATAATGGACACATTCCTTGTCCTGTTCTAAAAAGCATGCTTGATAGAGAGTCTCTAAAGTTAATCTGGGTCTGGGAAACCATGCCCCATGTGTTGTAGAGTAAACATAGCTGGTGTAGAGGAAGCATGGCAGGCTGCTTGTTCATAGCTGGTGTAGAGGAAGCATGGCAGGCTGCTTGTTCATAGCTGGTGTAGAGGAAGCATGGCAGGCTGCTTGTTCATAGCTGGTGTAGAGGAACCATTGCAGGCTGCTTGTTCATAGCTGGTGTAGAGGAAGCATTGCAGGCTGCTTGTTCATAGCTGGTGTAGAGGAAGCATTGCAGGCTGCTTGTTCATAGCTGGTGTAGAGGAAGCATTGCAGGCTGCTTGTTCATAGCTGGTGTAGAGAAAGCATGGCAGGCTGCTAGTTCATAGCTGGTGTAGAGGAAGCATTGCAGGCTGCTTGTTCATAGCTGGTGTAGAGGAAGCATTGCAGGCTGCTTGTTCATAGCTGGTGTAGAGGAAGCATTGCAGGCTGCTTGTTCATAGCTGGTGTAGAGGAAGCATGGCAGGCTGCTAGTTCATAGCTGGTGTAGAGGAAGCATTGCAGGCTGCTTGTTCATAGCTGGTGTAGAGGAAGCATTGCAGGCTGCTTGTTCATAGCTGGTGTAGAGGAAGCATTGCAGGCTGCTTGTTCATAGCTGGTGTAGAGGAAGCATGGCAGGCTGCTAGTTCATAGTTGGTGTAGAGGAAGCATGGCAGGCTGCTAGTTCATAGCTGGTGTAGAGGAAGCATGGCAGGCTGCTTGTTCATAGCTGGTGTAGAGGAAGCATGGCAGGCTGCTTGTTCATAGCTGGTGTAGAGGAAGCATTGCAGGCTGCTTGTTCATAGCTGGTGTAGAGGAAGCATGGCAGGCTGCTAGTTCATAGCTGGTGTAGAGGAAGCATTGCAGGCTGCTTGTTCATAGCTGGTGTAGAGGAAGCATTGCAGGCTGCTTGTTCATAGCTGGTGTAGAGGAAGCATGGCAGGCTGCTTGTTCATAGCTGGTGTAGAGGAAGCATGGCAGGCTGCTTGTTCATAGCTGGTGTAGAGGAAGCATGGCAGGCTGCTTGTTCATAGCTGGTGTAGAGGAAGCATTGCAGGCTGCTTGTTCATAGCTGGTGTAGAGGAAGCATTGCAGGCTGCTTGTTCATAGCTGGTGTAGAGGAAGCATTGCAGGCTGCTTGTTCATAGCTGGTGTAGAGGAAGCATTGCAGGCTGCTTGTTCATAGCTGGTGTAGAGGAAGCATGGCAGGCTGCTTGTTCATAGCTGGTGTAGAGGAAGCATTGCAGGCTGCTTGTTCATAGCTGGTGTAGAGGAAGCATTGCAGGCTGCTTGTTCATAGCTGGAGTAGAGGAAGCATTGCAGGCTGCTTGTTCATAGCTGGAGTAGAGGAAGCATTGCAGGCTGCTTGTTCATAGCTGGTGTAGAGGAAGCATGATAGGTGGCTAGTTCTTTGTTTTCTCAGGAGCACCACGCTGTTTATATGCTGTCAATGTAGTGTTTTTGAGAGCAGCAGTGGTTAGCTAGTGCGAGGGAAGGAGGCTCTAGGCTGCATTCCAAATAGCACCCCATGGGCTTTGGTCAAAAGTAGTACACTAAATAGGGAAATACATGCCATTTGTGACACATCCGTAGTCTGGCCAGAAACCAGACAGTTAGGGAGGGCAATTCACATGGATTTAGGTGTAAATAACAAGTACATCTTGTTAGATACAGACCATACGTTTTGTAAATATTATATTAATAATGGTCTAGATATGAAAGGGAAAATAAATCCAGTCAGATTGTGGAGGGGATGATGAAAATAAAAGGAAGTGCATGTCTATCTTCAGGGCCTGGGAAAAAGCAGACCTCCTTGAGGGCCTGGGGAAAAGCAGACCTCCTTGAGGGCCTGGGGAAAAGCAGACCTCATTGAGGGCCTGGGGAAAAGCAGACCTCCTTGAGGGCCTGGGGAAAAGCAGACCTCCTTGAGGGCCTGCGGAAAAGCAGACCTCCTTGAAGGCCTGGGGAAAAGCAGAGGTCCTTGAAGGCATGGGGAAAAGCAGACCTCATTGAGGGCATGGGGAAAGGCAGACCTCCTTGAGGGGGAAAAGCAGAAAAGCAGAGGTCCCTGAAGGCATGGGGAAAAACAGACCTCCTTGAGGGCATGGGGAAAGGCAGACCTCCTTGAGGGCCTGGGGAAAAGCAGACCTCCTTGAGGGCCTGGGGAAAAGCAGAGGTCCTTGAAGCCATGGGGAAAAGCAGACCTCCTTGAGGGCATGGGGAAAGGCAGACCTCCTTGAGGGCCTGGGGAAAAGCAGACCTCATTGAGGGCCTGGGGAAAAGCAGAGGTCCTTGAAGGCATGGGGAAAAGCAGACCTCCTTGAGGCCATGGGGAAAGGCAGACCTCCTTGAGGGCCTGGGGAAAAGCAGACCTCCTTGAGGGCCTGGGGAAAAGCAGAGCTCCTTGAGGGCCTGGGGAAAAGCAGAGCTCCTTGAGGGCATGGGGAAAAGCAGACCTCCTTGAGGGACTGGGGAAAGCAGACATATTTGAGGGGAAAAGCAGACCTCCTTGGGGGCCTGGGGAAAAACAGACCTACTTGGAGGCCTGTGGAAAAAGCAGAACTCCTTGAGGGCATGGGGAAAAGCAGAGCTCCTTGAGGGGGAAAAGCAGATCTCCTTGAGGGCCTGGGGAAAAGCAGACCTCCTTGATGGCCTGGGGGAAAAGCAGACCTACTTGAGGGCCTGGGGAAAAGCAGACCTCCTTGAGGGCATGGGGAAAAGCAGACCTCCTTGAGGGCCTGGGGAAAAGCAGAGCTCCTTGAGGGCCTGGGGAAAAGCAGAGCTCCTTGAGGGCATGGGGAAAAGCAGACCTCCTTGAGGGACTGGGGAAAGCAGACATATTTGAGGGGAAAAGCAGACCTCCTTGGGGGCCTGGGGAAAAACAGACCTACTTGGAGGCCTGTGGAAAAAGCAGAACTCCTTGAGGACATGGGGAAAAGCAGAGCTCCTTGAGGGGGAAAAGCAGATCTCATTGAGGGCCTGGGGAAAAGCAGACCTCCTTGAAGGCCTGGGGGAAAAGCAGACCTCCTTGAGGCCATGGGGAAAGGCAGACCTCCTTGAGGGCCTGGGGAAAAGCAGACCTCCTTGAGGACCTGGGGAAAAGCAGAGCTCCTTGAGGGCCTGGGGAAAAGCAGAGCTCCTTGAGGGCATGGGGAAAAGCAGACCTCCTTGAGGGACTGGGGAAAGCAGACATATTTGAGGGGAAAAGCAGACCTCCTTGGGGGCCTGGGGAAAAACAGACCTACTTGGAGGCCTGTGGAAAAAGCAGAACTCCTTGAGGGCATGGGGAAAAGCAGATCTCCTTGAGGGCCTGGGGAAAAGCAGACCTCCTTGAAGGCCTGGGGGAAAAGCAGACCTACTTGAGGGCCTGGGGAAGAGCAGACCTCCTTGAGGGCCTGGGGAAAAGCAGACCTCCTTGAGGGCATGGGGAAAAGCAGAGCTCCTTGAGGGCCTGGGGAAAAGCAGACCTCCTTGAGGGCATGGGGAAAAGCAGACGACCTTGAGGGCCTGGGGAAAAGCAGACCTTCTTGAGGGCCTGGGGAAAAGCAGACCTCCTTGAGGGCCTGGGGAAAAGCAGAGCTCCTTGAGGGCCTGGTGAAAAGCAGAGCTCCTTGAGGGACTGGGGAAAAGCAGACCTCCTTGAGGGCATGGGGAAAAGCAGACGACCTTGAAGGCCTGGGGAAAAGCAGACCTCCTTGAGGGCCTGGGGAAAAGCAGACCTCCTTGAGGGCATGGGGAAAAGCAGAGCTCCTTGAGGGCCTGGGGAAAAGCAGACCTCCTTGAGGGCCTGGGGAAAAGCAGACCTCCTTGAGGGCCTGGGGAAAAGCAGAGCTCCTTGAGGGCCTGGGGAAAGGCAGACCTCCTTGAGGGCCTGGGGAAAAGCAGAGCTCCTTGAGGGCCTGGTGAAAAGCAGAGCTCCTTGAGGGACTGGGGAAAAGCAGAGCTCCGTGAGGGCATGGGGAAAAGCAGAGCTCCTTGAGGGCATGGGGAAAAGCAGACGACCTTGAGGGCCTGGGGAAAAGCAGACCTCCTTGAGGGCCTGGGGAAAAGCAGACCTCCTTGAGGGCCTGGGGAAAAGCAGAGCTCCTTGAGGGCCTGGTGAAAAGCAGAGCTCCTTGAGGGACTGGGGAAAAGCAGACCTCCTTGAGGGTATGGGGAAAAGCAGACGACCTTGAAGGCCTGGGGAAAAGCAGACCTCCTTGAGGGCCTGGGGAAAAGCAGACCTCCTTGAGGGCATGGGGAAAAGCAGAGCTCCTTGAGGGCCTGTGGAAAAGCAGAGCTCCTTGAGGGCATGGGGAAAAGCAGAGCTCCTTGAGGGCATGGGGAAAAGCAGACGACCTTGAGGGCCTGGGGAAAAGCAGACCTCCTTGAGGGCCTGGGGAAAAGCAGACCTCCTTGATGGCCTGGGGAAAAGCAGACCTTCTTGAGGGCATGGGGAAAAGCAGACCTCCTTGAGGGCATGGGGAAAAGCAGACGACCTTGAGGGCCTGGGGAAAAGCAGACCTCCTTGAAGGCCTGGGGAAAAGCAGACCTCCTTGAGGGCCTGGGGAAAAGCAGACCTCCTTGAGGGCATGGGGAAAATCAGAGCTCCTTGAGGGCCTGGGGAAAAGCAGACCTCCTTGAGGGCCTGGGGAAAATCAGAGCTCCTTGAGGGCCTGGGGAAAAGCAGACCTCCTTGAGGGCCTGGGGAAAAGCAGACCTCCTTGAGGGCCTGGGGAAAAGCAGAGCTCCTTGAGGGCCTGGTGAAAAGCAGAGCTCCTTGAGGGACTGGGGAAAAGCAGACCTCCTTGAGGGTATGGGGAAAAGCAGACGACCTTGAAGGCCTGGGGAAAAGCAGACCTCCTTGAGGGCCTGGGGAAAAGCAGACCTCCTTGAGGGCATGGGGAAAAGCAGAGCTCCTTGAGGGCCTGGTGAAAAGCAGAGCTCCTTGAGGGCCTGGGGAAAAACAGACCTCCTTGAGGGCCTGGGGAAAAGCAGAGCTCCTTGAGGGCCTGGTGAAAAGCAGAGCTCCTTGAGGGACTGGGGAAAAGCAGAGCTCCTTGAGGGCATGGGGAAAAGCAGAGCTCCTTGAGGGCATGGGGAAAAGCAGACGACCTTGAGGGCCTGGGGAAAAGCAGACCTCCTTGAGGGTATGGGGAAAAGCAGACAACCTTGAAGGCCTGGGGAAAAGCAGACCTCCTTGAGGGCCTGGGGAAAAGCAGACCTCCTTGAGGGCATGGGGAAAAGCAGAGCTCCTTGAGGGCCTGGTGAAAAGCAGAGCTCCTTGAGGGACTGGGGAAAAACAGACCTCCTTGAGGGCCTGGGGAAAAGCAGACATATTTGAGGGCCTGGGGAAAAGCAGACCTCCTTGAGGGTATGGGGAAAAGCAGACCTCCTTGAGGGCCTGGGGAATAGCAGACCTCCTTGAGGGCCTGGGGAAAAGCAGACCTCCTTGGCAATGAATAGAGCAGAGGGATTATTTTTCCCAAAGGGAACTTCAGTTGTGGCTAATAAATTAGACAATAAATATACATACATGGCAGATAAACCATTGTACTAGATCAACACCAATAATCATTTTACATTGAAAAGCTGTCCTTGACTCTGTGATCTGACCAGTGCTGGGTCTGTCTAAGTAACCACTAACCAGTGCTGCGTCCGTCTATAACTTTATACATTATAGAAAAGATGAGTACAAAGTCATGTATTTTCACTGATGTGATGTAAATGTAAATGTGATGTCTGACCCAATGCTGTCTGTCTGTGTGGCTTTGTGGCTGTGCTTGGTTATTTTCCAGATGGGCTCTTACTTTGGCTCCTCATTGTGTGGAGTTGATCTGAACCTGGACGGCCTGTCGGACCTGCTGGTTGGAGCGCCCATGCACAGCACACTACGGGACGAGGGACAGGTCTCTGTCTACCTCAGCAAGGGCAACGTGAGTGGGAAGAGTGAGATCTGGGTTGGATGGGAAAAGGGTTGTAAAATGTTATGAACTTTCTGAAAGGGCCCATGTTGTTCAGAAGTTGTAGGATATTCGGAAGGGAATGAACAGGGAGGGAATCTTACAACTAGGAATTCTGTAAATGGGATTTCTGAAAAACATGAGAAATGTGCAATGTACAGTATATTCTAGACCTCCAGTCAACCTGTCTGGCCCTCCGTATGTAAACATGGCTGCCTATAGCGTGTAGCAAGAGTTTATATGACCTCCATAGATTGTTCATCTGTCCATGTCAGACCAGCTGGTTAACAAAATGTTATTAACTTGAAGAAAACTATTTGCTTCAAAAGTGGGGATTGTTTAACTTTGTCTGTGTTTGGTCCTGTTCTATTTGTGAGTTATCATTAGGATGTTATAACTAGCTAGTCTTGGAGGTTCTTACGGTGAGTTATCATTAGGATGTTATAATTAGCTGGTCTTGGAGGTTCTTACGGTGAGTTATCATTAGGATATTAAAACTAGCTAGTCTTGGAGGTTCTTACGGTGAGTTTGGTTATTTGAGTTTTTAGTGAAAGTTAAATAACTATATCTATAGCCGATACAGAAAGTTCCTCAAATGTTATAGGAGAAAGCTGGATGTATTTCAGTTAGTAGTCAGTCATAACCATTGCCCTTTAATGTAAAGGGTTGTGTCACATCATAACTGTTCCCCTTTAAAGTTATGGGTTGTGTCACGTAATAACCGTTCCCCAGTAATAGGTTGTGTCACGTCCTAACCATTCCCCTGTTTGACTCTAATTGCAGGGGGTGATGGAGGAGGCTGGACTCTTAAATGGAGATGATGCCTACAGTGCACACTTTGGAGAGTGCATCACTGCAATCGGAGACATCGATGACGATGGATACCAAGGTAAGTGTCTCTCAACTAACTCACTGTGTTGTCAAGTATAGAATGTATGCTTATGAAAATGTGTCCACTCCTCAAACCGCCACTGTTGTTGTACAAATACCAAAATTCTCAATGAAACACTTTCATGAATATTCAATTATTTTCATGAGAGGTGGTCTAGTCTACAATGTTTATGGAATGTGATATAGCTTAGTCATACAGTTTTTGTTCCACAATATTAAACATTGTGACGTAAGCAAACGTAGGCTGGTCGTAATACCTATGCTAGAAAAGCCCAAAAGCTTTTCTCTCAGAGACATTCTGTTTCGATTATCTTATGGAGAGGGGGATCTTCAGAAAGCATAACCCTCTTTTACTCATGTGTATGCACACACACACCCAGATATAGCGTACACACACACAGACAGCATACTGTTCCTGGCACTCACTGGAGTTGTCTAAAGAAGACTTTTCTTGGCGTGTGTTTCACAATAGAACGCTACAGGAAGACTGGAGGCAATTTTTCTGCTTTCATTCATCTCTCTTGGTTTGATAGAATGTGATGTCACCTGATGTGTTTTTCCTGTAGTGTCTAAAGACCAGCCACCTGGCAGCAGCAGCTATGTGTCTGGAGCTCTGAGGGGCCCAATGCCATCATGCTCCTATCTAAGCTGTAGGGCTGTAGGGGCCAATGCCATCATGCTCCTATCTAGGCTGTAGGGCCCAATGCCATCATGCTCCTATCTAGGCTGTAGGGGCCAATGCCATCATGCTCCTATCTAGGCTGTAGGGCCCAATGCCATCATGCTCCTATCTAGGCTGTAGGGCCCAATGCCATCATGCTCCTATCTAGGCTGTAGGGCCCAATACCATCATGCTCCTATCTAGGCTGTAGGGCCTGATGCCATCATGATCCCATCTAGGCTGTAGGGCCTGATGCCATCATGATCCCATCTAGGCTGTATGTAGGGCTGTAGGGCCCAATGCCATCATGCTCCTATCTAGGCTGTAGGGGCCAATGCCATCATGATCCCATCTAGCCCGTAGGGCTGTAGGGCCCAATGCCATCATGATCCCATCTAGCCTGTAGGGCCCAATGCCATCATGATCCCATCTAGCCTGTAGGGCCCAATGCCATCATGATCCCATCTAGCCTGTAGGACGCAATGCCATCATGCTCCCATCTAGCCTGTAGGGCCTGTTACAGTGGCTAATCTGTTATGTAGTGCCAAACATTTTACATTTTAGTCATTTATCCAGAGCGATTTACAGGAGCAATTAGGGTTAAGTACCTTGCTCAAGGACACATCGACAGATTTTTCACCTAGTCGGCTCGGGGATTAGAACCAGCGACCTTTCGGTTACTGGCACAACGCTCTTAACCACTAAGCTACCTGCCACCCTATATTCACCTTTCAGAATCAGAGAAGTGATATGGGGTTAAGGACTGGATAGACAGGAGACCATTAACACTGTCTCACATTATCTGATGAAGAATCTACTGATCAAATCAAATCAGATCAAATTTTATTGGCCACATGCGCCGAATACAACAGATGCAGACATTACAGTGAAATGCTTACTTACAGCCCTTAACCTACAGTGCATTTATTTTTAATAAAAAAGTAAAATAAAACAACAACAAAAAAATGTTGAGAAAAAAAGAGCAGAAGTAAAATAAAATAACAGTAGGGAGGCAATATATACAGGGGGGTACCGGTGCAGAGTCAGTGTTCGGGGACACCGACTAGTTGAGGTAGTTGAGGTAATATGTACATGTGGGTATAGTTAAAGTGACTATGCATGAATAATTAACAGAGTAGCAGCAGCGTAAAAAGGATGGGGTGGGGGGGCAGTGCAAATAGTCCGGGTAGCCATGATTAGCTGTTCAGGAGTCTTATGGCTTGGGGGTAGAAGCTGTTGAGAAGCCTTTTGGACCTAGACTTGGCGCTCCGGTACCGCTTGCCGTGCGGCAGCAGAGAGAACAGTCTATGACTAGGGTGGCTGGAGTCTTTGACAATTTTGAGGGCCTTCCTCTGGAAACCATTAACACGGTCTCACATTATCTGATGAGGAATCTACTGTTAAGACTGGAGAGCATTAACACGGTCTCACATTATCTGATGAGGAATCTACTGTTAGACTGGAGAGCAGTAACACGGTCTCACATTATCTGATGAGGAATCTACTGTTAGACTGGAGGCACGACAGGCCAAATGGAAACAGCAAATTTGTCAGTAAACTTTCCAAATGTCAACAAAACAAAATACACTAGACAAGGTGGGATTTTTTTGTGTCGATTAAAATTAATTATGCGAGAAATAGCCGTGGACACGCTTTTATGCGCAAATATTGATATAATAACCATGATATCGAAGTACACTTGGAGCCACGCGATGACATGTTGTGTGGTCCTCCCATTACGACTCAGGAAAGCATGCAGTTTATTAGGCTACAGATAATAATAAATAATAATAATATGCCATTTAGCAGACGCTTTTATCCAAAGCGACTTACAGTCGTGCGTGCATACATTTTTTTGTGTATGGGTGGTCCCGGGGTTCGAACCCACTACCTTGGCGTTACAAGCGCCGTGCTCTACCAGCTGAGCTACAGAGGACCATAAGTTATGAAATAAGATGAAATAAGATGAAATAAGTTATGATGAACTTCACAGGGTGGTGAAAGTGTAAGGTGATGAGCTTGATGCTCCTTTCCAATAAATATCTAGGGTCTTATTCTGGTGACATGAATATCGATGCTTGGCTGCCATTTGACAAATAAAAATTATCTTGCTGTCCATAATAATCTCATGTAGGCTATACCTGCACTGTATCTGTGAGCTGTTGGCGAGAACATGTGCCAATACCAGAGTGGGCACATTCACTATATAACGCATCATTTCTTTGTGACAAAACCATTAGTAGAGTTACAAATGTGACGGAAACCCATTAAACTTGTATTTTTTTATTTGGTACATGGGAATTTAAGCGCAAAAGTTATTTTATATGCACTACGTCATCACACAGCCTTTTATCTGCAACACGTCAATTTGAAACATATCTGGTGGGAAAATGTGCATATTGTTTTTATGCGGATTTGAGAATTTCCGCATCAAAATCTGTAGCCAATTGGATGGAAACCTAGCTATTGTTCAATATGATTCCAGCTTTTTAGATAAGACTAATTCACTAGAAAAGTGGAAGATAAGCCAAAAAATGACTTTACACCCAACAATTACATTCAGGATGTTTAAAGTGAGAATTGCTTTCAGCTTTCAACGTCCCACATTTGACAATGTAAAATTAATATGATGAGGTACTTAGTAAACCATGCTGCTAAACCACATTATAAACCTTGAAGAGTTTCTTATCCATGATATGATTCAGTTTTAAAATATTCACTTTTCGCTGAGGCATGCTATAACAACATCACTGAAAAACTGTTTTTGTTTTAAAAAGGCATTTTCCAGGTTTTGTTGCGAGGGAGGATAAGGGGACGTAGTGCACAACTTTTGACCAGAGCCTTCCCTATGGGCCCTGATCAAAAGTTGTGCACTATGCAGAGAGTAGGGTGCCATTTGGGATGCAGTCGAAGTATGAACCTTTTGCCTTCAGCTTTATGGTTCTGTTTCCACTCTCACAGAGGTCTCATACAGGGGTTTATGGGCACTGACAACGCTTGTCTTTTAAGACAGGGTTTCACAAACTCTGTCCTGCCCCCCCCCCCCCTCCCCCCGGGTGCATGTTTTGGTTCTTGCCCTAGCCCTACACAGATGATTCAAATAACCAACTCATCATCAAGCTTTGATTATTTTAATCAGATGTGTAGAGCTAGAGCAAAAAACGAAACGTTCTCTCTCTCAATTCAATGCAATTCAATTTAAGGGCTTTATTGGCATGGGAAACATATGTTAACATTGCCAGAACAAGTGAAGTAGATAGTAAACAAAAGTGAAATAAACAAAAAATATTAACAGTAAACATTACACTCAGAAGTTCCAAAAGAATACAGACATTTCAAATGTCATATTACAGTGAGGGAAAAAAGTATTTGATCCCCTGCTGATTTTGTACGTTTGCCCACTGACAAAGAAATGATCAGTCTATAATTTTAATGGTAGGTTTATTTGAACAGTGAGAGACAGAATAACAACAAAAAAATCCAGAAAAACGCATGTCAAAAATGTTATAAATTGATTTGCATTTTAATGAGGGAAATAAGTATTTGACCCCCTCTCAATCAGAAAGATTTCTGGCTCCCAGGTGTCTTTTATACAGGTAATGAGCTGAGATTAGGAGCACACTCTTAAAGGGAGTGCTCCTAATCTCATCTTGTTACCTGTATAAAAGACACCTGTCCACAGAAGCAATCAATCAATCAGATTCCAAACTCTCCACCATGGCCAAGACCAAAGAGCTCTCCAAGGATGTCAGGGACAAGATTGTAGACCTACACAAGGCTGGAATGGGCTACAAGACCATCGCCAAGCAGCTTGGTGAGAAGGTGACAACAGTTGGTGCGATTATTCGCAAATGGAAGAAACACAAAATAACTGTCAATCTCCCTCGGCCTGGGGCTCCATGCAAGATCTCACCTTGTGGAGTTTCAATGATCATGAGAACGGTGAGGAATCAGCCCAGAACTACACGGGAGGATCTTGTCAATGATCTCATGGCAGCTGGGACCATAGTCACCAAGAAAACAATTGGTAACACACTACGCCGTGAAGGACTGAAATCCTGCAGCGCCCGCAAGGTCCCCCTCCTCAAGAAAGCACATATACAGGGCCGTCTGAAGTTTGCCAATGAACATCTGAATGATTCAGAGGAGAACTGGGTGAAAGTGTTGTGGTCAGATGAGACCAAAATCGAGCTCTTTGACATCAACTCAACTTACCGTGTTTGGAGGAGGAGGAATGCTGCCTATGACCCCAAGAACACCATCCCCACCATCAAACATGGAGGTGGAAACATTATGCTTTGGGGGGGGGGTTTCTGCTAAGGGGACAGGACAACTT